TGAGGGCTTCGGATTCCTCGCCGTAGTCCTTGACAACGACACAGGAGCAGCCGACGACCTTGCGGGGCTTGCCCTCGGAGTCAATCTTGCAGAGGCCTGCCCATTCGCCAAGCTTCTTGTTCTGCGGGACCTGAATCAAGTGAACGTTGTGCTCATGGCAGAGCGCTTCGATGARYTTCGTGYAGTCGGGCTGATTGCAATCCTCGGCGAGCAGACAGAGCTGCGCRCTGTTCTTCTCAATGGCCTTGGCCGCCTCATGGAGGCCCCTAGCAAGACCGTCGTGAGCAAGAGACTTCTTCAGCAGAGCTTGAAGCGCCCTCATGATGTCCATAGGCTCTCTGGCGGCCGAGTCGGCCGCCGCCGTTGCAGCCGCTGCATCCTCCATAGCTAGCCTGCTCGACGGCTGGGAAGCGGGTCGCGCTCCTCGGTAGGCTGAGTTCTCGAGAACAGGTGGGCGCCGCACTCTCTCTCTCCTCTCCTCCCGCGATCACCCGTCTTCCCTATGCTGCCTAGTTTTTGCAGGCCCTCAACCATGCAGAATAATGTTGCGACCGCTCCGGGTAGCCCCGGATAAATGTGCAAAATGAGACTGAAACCTCCAGTAGAACATGGAGAGAGACATTGCCATATATTTTTCTAATCTCTGGTGCATGTTTAGAGTTGCAGAGCAAGGCCCATCGCGTCTGCACAAGGATGAGACGCGCCATCAGACACATGGGGGGGGGCTCGGTCCACCTCTCTTCAAATGTGCCAAATGAGACTGAATCCTCCACTACAACATGGAGTGGAACATTGGCATCCATTTTGTTTGTCTTTTGTCCATCTGGAGAGTACTCTATTCAAGTTGGCCTGCTGCATTACTCACCAAATGTGCAAAATGGGAATGAATCTGCCAGTGGAACATGGAAAGATGCACTGCCACATGTTTTGTGGTTTGAGAATGTGGCCACAAAATGCAGTGGTGAATCTTTACATGTTCTAGCCTGCGTAGCGATCCGTACGGTTGTATGGATCCATACTCGAACGCTATTCCTACGGTAGGGGCCCCGTACGGATTTTATTTTATTTATTTTTTTTGGTGTCGGGTGTTGGCTAGTGTCCTTGCACCCTGTATACATGAAATCAACGGAAAAAATGGAGTTCCAAGGCCAATTTCCTGTATACATGGTGTGTGGCTTAGAACCCCCTACGCACCTTTTTTTTTTTTTTTTTTTTTTTGGTGGTGCTGACATGACCCACCCCATTCCAACCTCAACGTTCTTCTTCCTTAGCTTCACCCCTGCTTCTCCAGCTGTTTTTCCAAATGAAAAAAAAAAAAGAAAAAAAGAAAAAAAAAAAAAAAAGCGTTACCCCTGTTTCTCCAGCTGTTTTTCCAAAACAAAAAAAAAAGCGTCACCCCTGCTTCTCCATCTACGGGCAGCACTTGTTGACCCTTGCCTCGGGTATACCGGACAGCAGTTGCACACACCACCACTACGCCAGGACAAGCTGGACAACCGTCCCGGCCCTAGTTGAAGCACTATCGGACAAGCCTTGTCGTACGGGCACTTCGGTTGCCAAGCATGATCGTCCTCTGCACTTTCCTAATGAGCATCAGCCCGGGTCGGTCAGACAGCAAATATTTCATCAATCGGCCCCAGCACTGTCTACTGGTCCTGCCCTGACCAAGGTCTTACCTAAGGCAGCCTCCTGACCCAACCCAGGCAACATGCTCCTAGCACAGCCTATTGTTCCCTTGTAGTAGGGGTTGTGTTGTTGTCATGGATAGTTAGTTATTCAGTTCATATTGAGGGGGCAAGGTTATCGGTCCGTAGCCGTCGCACCAGTTTGCCACAGGGCCGATTCTTGCCGGGGAAAACCTCCGGTCCATCCCCCCTTACACCCCAGTTGCCTATCAGTTATGGATTGTGTTAGCGCGGGGCCATTCTCCACCCCGGCTAGTATCATATCAATGGGGCAGGGTTATGAGTTATGTGTTATGTATTTTTCATTTCGAGGGGGCAAGGTTATCAGTCTGTAACCGTCACACCAGTTCGTCACAGGGCCGATTCCTGCCAGGGAAAACCTCCAGCTCAGAACCCCTGCACCCCGCCAGTCAGTTATCAGCTATGAGTTATGTGTTATGCGTTTGTCATATCGAGGGGGCAAGGTTATCGGTCTGTCACCGTCGCACTAGCTCGCCACCAGTTCGCCACAGGGCCGATTCCTGCCAGGGAAAACCTCCAGCCCATCCCCCCCTTGCCACCTAGTTGCCAATAAGTTATGGATTGTGTTAGCACGGGGCCATTCTCCACCCCTGCTAGTATCATATCGAGGGGACAGGGTTATTGGTCCGTAACCGTCGCACCAGCTCGCCACAGGGCCGATTCCTGCCAGGGAAAACCTCCAGCCCATCCCCCCTGCACCCCCACAGTCGGTTATCAGCTATGAGTTATGTGTTATGTGTTTGTCATATCGAGGGGCCAAGGTTATC